TCTGCATGCCCCCTCCTCCCACTGTAAGGGACGAAGGCCTGACCCTTCTGCCTACCAAACAGTTCTCAAAGCAACCCGCCGCCCCTCCACGGCCACACCGGCCACGCACGCCTGCAAAACCAGTCACCTCCAAGGGGCCGCCTTTCTTCCCTCTTGCTCCCACTAAGAGGCCAGGATCTGACTGCTTTTCAATGCTCATGACTCCCCTTCATTCATTCTGAGGATAAAATGCCAACACCCCAACAAAGCCAGCCAACCTTGGCTGCCTCAGCCTACCCTCCTCCCAACCTCGGGGGTGCCAACTTGCCCTAATTCTCACAAAGAACAGATCTGCTGGCCTCTGTGGCACTGGCCCGCCACTCCTGATTCTTGGGAGCCACGTTGTCCGGACCCTCTACGGGCGGGCTTGCTCCTGTGCAGCTGCCACCCCTCCTCCAAGAAGCCTTCCTCCTTACCCTACCAGGGGAGGCACCCCGACCCCAAGCACCTTCCCCCCATCCTTGCCTCCCACGGTCATCCCTGCCTGTCAGCGGCGGGCATGCCTCAGGGCAGCGCCTGGCCACGGTGCGATGGATGGGCCACAGAGCTGATCTGTGCCACGGCGACCCTCTTGCCTACCAGGCTGGTGGGAGTGAAATGCTAAGAGCCCAAGTCCCCACATGCCCGATGTCCCCAAATTAAACTCTTGGGCCAAACCAGCAAAATGTCCCCAAGGCCTCGAGACGCCGAGGGTCCCGCCAGGCAGCTGTGCCAGCTCCCATGCCCACGACGGAGACCAGCCCCCACGGAGAGCTGCGCAACACCCTCCGGAGCCCATCGCCTTCCTGGCCTCCCTACAAAGAGGGGGGGGGGGAGACAAGGACCACCGCGCCCCTACCCTGCTATCTGTGCAGCGGCCTAGGATCTGAGTCACCAGGGCTGGAAGCCAAGGGCCCACGCCCCACACCCAGCACTCCCGGGACAGCCCCCAGGGCACGAGGCGCTGGGCCGGAGCCGGGCCCACCTGCTGGCCACGGTCGTGCTGTTGGCCTTCTTGGTGGGCGCCTTCTTGGGCTGCGCCTGCTTGGCGGGCGGGGCGGCCTTGGCCTTCCTCTCCTCCTCGGCCCTGGCCTTGTGCCTCTCCTTGTCCTTGTCTTTGTCCTTCCTTCTCTTCTCCTTCTCCTTCTTCTCCTTCTTCCTCTTTGGCTTATTCACGGGGGCCTGAGACAGGGCGGCCAGCTGCTCGTGCACAGCCTTCAGCTGGAAAAGAGCAGGCGGCTGAGAGGGGCTCCCTGCGGCTCGGGCGCCCCTGGAGCTTCTGCAACCGGGCGGGAGCTGAGCCGGGCGCCCCTGGGCCACGCCGCGCCTCGGGGACCAGACGGGCGCCAGGAGCACGTGGCGTCAGAGCCACGCTCTGCCCACCCCCCGCCCCCCGCTGCCCCATCGCTGGGCCGGTTTCCTCGGGGAAACTGCAACGGGCGGCTCGGGGAGCAGCAGAGCAGCCTGGCGAAACGCTCGGCCCAGGGCGGGTGGCACAGTAAGGACTCGATAAATAGTAGCTGACGTTTTCTTATTCGTTTTTATTTTTCAGGTGAGGAAGACAGAGCCTTAACCGGCTGCACAAAGGAGTTAGTTGTTCACACAGCAGGTCTAGAGAATCGGAACGGTCCCGGTGCCGACGCGCGCTGGCAGGGTGCTAAGTGCTCTATGTTCTCCTTTCAGCGGCCCCCGGGCACGAGGGGCGACCACACGCTGCCCCGGGCAGGGGAGCAGACAAGCTCCAGCCTCCGGCAGGTGCAGGGGCTGAGACGGCAACCTGGGCCGACAGCTGCACCTCAGGGCCGTCTTCCCGGCAGCGTCATCTCTAACGAGGCTCCAGTCAAAGTCAAACGCCCACCCCACTCTGGTGACCGCGGGGCCATCTCCACTCTGCTCTCTTCTCCCTGCCAGAAGCCCCAGAAATCATGCACCTGCTGGCTGCCAGACACTTGGGGAAAACAATTCTTCACGTTTTTCTCAATTCATCGTCAAAACAACTGAAATGAGGGGGGCATGAGACCCATTTTGCAAAAGAGGAGTGAAGCAGGGGGCACGGTGGTCAGAGGTCAGGGGAGGACAGCCTCATTCCCGAGGGAGCCTGCACCCCACCACCCCACAGCAACAGGCAGCTGGCCCACACGGCGTGGCTTCTGCCAATACTTCCCTCCCAGACCTTTATGGGACAGTGCGTGGGCACCCAGGGCCGACCAGGGCTCCGGGAAAGTAGCACGGCCCCAGGCCTGCAGGAACCTCCAAGGGGGCCCTCGGAGCTAACACTTCCCGGGTCTCCTCCCAGGACGCTGCAAGGAAGGACTGCCACGGCTTGTGGGAGGGGACACAGACAAGGCTCACCTGCTCCTGCAACTCTGCCAGCCTGGTGGCCCGCTCCTCCTCCGAGTCCGAGCTACCCGAGTCCGAGGAGCTCTCCTCGCTGCTGCGGCTGCTCTCTGTGCCCTTGCTCACCACCGGGGCTGCGGGGGCAGGCAGTGCGGGAGCCTCCGCCGGCTCATCCGGCATCTTGGCAAACCGCATCTCAAACACATCCTGTGGGGGAGCAGAGGCGACCTGAGGTCCTGGACACCCCTGGGGAAGCCACTCAGAGTAGGCACCCAGCATCCCCGAGATGCCCTCAGAGCTACACCGAGGCGGCAGCCCAGCTGGCTCCCCCACCCTCTCTAGGCACTGAGTGCAGGGCCGGGGCCAGGGATGCAGGGCCAACAGCCACAGATGTAGCCACCCTCCTAGGGAGTGGCCCGCCTGTCCCTTAATAACACGTAAGCCTTCCGCGGTCCTGTAAGTCCCTGTGAGACAGCAGGACCCAGCAGGGGGAGCGCAGGCTCTTCCTGCATCCCTGGTCTGGGGCCTGGTGACCGAGGGGGACGCCATGAGCCCCTCCACAGGGTTTTCAAAAGGGTTCTCAGCAAGGGACTAGAAACCTCTTAGGAAACAAAGGTTCTGGGTCCCGTAAAAGGAAAAACTACCGAGGAGGAGACGTCCATAATTCTTACTTTCCTCCAAAGAGAAAGTTTTCTGACCCCGTGACATCTAAAACATCAGTGCTGTTATTACCAAAGCACCAGCCCACGCAATCCACGGCAAGGAAAAATAATAGGCCCTGAGCACTGAAATACGTGGGCAGCAGCCAGGCTGGCGGGAAAGCACCCTCAAGGGGGTGGGGTGCAGCACACTGTGTGTGAGGCTGGTGTGCCCAGACAGAGTCCCACACTGGTGGCCAGACAAGCCTCCTACAGCTGTTTCCTCCCACATGCCGTCTGCAATTGTTGCCAGGAGAGCAACAGGCCCCCGTCATCTGATACAACGTCCACCAGCCTCACTAAAAGCCCCCCACCTTCACCACCAGCACATGAACTGATGGGAACCTTCAGTCGTAAGGCTACGGGAGAGGGGACATCAGCCTTCTCTCTCTCACCATTGGCTAGAACGTCCTGCTCACTGCCCACCCCAACCTGAGCCCGCAGCTCCTGGAAGGCAGAGGGGCCAGTTTGTCACCAAGTCCTGGGAAGCAGGCTGGGGGTCTGGCCAGCACTTGGCCACCACCAGGACAAATGTGTTGCGTAGATGAGGCTCCCCGTGGCCTCCCCGCTGGACGTCCTCTGAGAAGCCTGTGTCTTTCCTAGGACCCTGCCCGGAGCTGCTGACCCCACCTGTGCCCAGTACTCTCCCCAGAGAGCGCCTCGGGTTACCTGCAGCTTCCTGGCCATGGCCACCACCTCGTGGTCTGGCGGGTTGTACTTGTAGCAGTTGGAGAACATTAACCGGATGTCAGCTGCAAAGCTTTGTGCGTCTGGGTACTCGCGGCTGTCCATCTTCTTCTGTAACACACAAGCAACAGGGCGTGAGAGGCACCGCGCAGTGTCACAGACTCCGCTCACACAGACACGGGCCCTCTGATCATCCACTGCTGGACCCCTAACACCTCGTGCATGGGACCCTACAGAGGGGCAGGCACCCTGTGGGGATGAACAGTGCGGGACAAGAAGTCTGGCTCCTGCAGCCACCACCTAACCCCTTCCTTTCCCGAAGCTTCCAGCTCTACGTATGAGGTCACCTGTCACACGCCGAGGTCCCTGACAGTAGAGGCTCCAGGGGAATGAGAAGCTTCCAGGAAGTCTCTCCACCAATGCTGGGGGCCCACTTGATTCACGAAATGAGATGTTTTTTTCTCCATGAAAACCCAGGTGCTCTTAGCCTGCCCGCCCCTCACAGAAGCACGGGACTGCCCGGCGGGAGAGTGGGGAGAGGTGAGACAGTAGGCACGTGGAGGGGAAAATGCCACCAGTGGGGGGCGCTATAAGGTGGCAACTGAGAATGAGCTGGTGGGTTAGGAAAGACGTGGGGCCCAGACCGGCATGGCTCAGGGTTTCAGCATCGACCTAGGATCCAGGAGATCAAGGTTCGATTCCCAGTCAGGGCGCATGCCCAGGTTGTGGGCTCGATCCCTAGTCAGGGGCGTGCAGGAGGCAGCCGATAAATAATGACTTTCTCATCGTTGATGTTTCTATCTCTCTTTCCCCCTCTCCCTTCCTCTCTCTGAAATCAATAGATATATTAAAAAAAAAAAAAAA